ACTTGACAAAGCATACGATTGTTTATTTACTAATTATTGATTTCCATATTTTCAATAACCTCTTATTAACTTTCAACTGTCGCAAATTTATATTATGTACTAAGAAACATTCTCACATAACCATTTGTTCAATTGACATGATAATTTGTTTTATTGCTTCGTCTTTTGCATCTGACATATCATGTAAGTTGTTATAATTTTTGTACTATATATCGTTCGATTTATTTATTATTATTTTTATCATTTTTATTATTTTTATCATTTTTTAATTTTTTATTATTTTATTTTAATATTAAGTTTATAATTTTATTATATGACAATATTCTTTAATCCATTGTCTTAGACCATTAATTATTAAGATTTTTTATTAATTAGATTTATATTGTACAGTGTTCCAGGTAGCACTTTGATATTCAATTAGATGTATATATTGATAAGGATCCGAATTAGGATCGAAACGTATGTATTTTTCACAATAAAGGATTTATAATATCACACACCAACACCTTGTGCAGACTCGAATGGCTTTACACTTCATATTTTAGATTTAATCAAACGAGTCGTTATAAGATTTTATTTATATTAAATTTTAATATATGTCTTTCAACATATTATTAAGATCTTATAAGATGCTATAGGCATCAAAAATTGGTTAGATTGTTTCTCAATTTAACTAATTGTAAGTGATATTACTGCGGTAGTGAATATGTATGCGTCAATGCTGAAAATCTATCAGCGTCGCGAGGGGGACTACATACGCATTATATAAATTCACATAATATAATAAACATTAACATCTTGTTTTCAAGACTCGATTAGGCTTTACACTTGAGATTTTTAAATATAAATAGCTTTCCACATCACCCGAGAGGTACTATTGTAAGTATGCGAAATATGTGAATTTTTTTCAAAGTGTTTAGGATCATCATGTTTATATTATAAATGGCTGCGTTCAGTAAAAAAAGCAGCTTTGTAACTGTTGCAAAATTCTTGAATATGATTGTCTTATACGTTAAGATCTAATAAGAAAGTAGAGGCAAGACCAATCATATAAAAAAATTTTGCAACAGTTGCAAAGCTGCTTTCTTTGCTGAACGCAGCCATTAATCTCTATGAAGCCACATATTTGATTTTTATTTTTAGTGGAATATGTCTACTGGGGAAATCGCTTAAAAGAAAAACTCAATTTACAGCAATACCTCTCAGGTGATGTGGAAAGTTATTGTTAAAATATATATCATTATAATTATGTTAGATATTACACTTATTAGAAAATTACACTAAGGTATAAAGATATCGTTATGGAACATAATGAATAAATTAACAAAGATATAATTTAATATTAATAAAAAAAAGTTATTTAATAAAGAAGCATATTGTTATAATGATTTGGTGGTACGCTCACAATAGTTCCGATATGGAGACGCCTGAACCATAGTGTCGCGCGCTCAATCGGCAGCTAGGTCGCCGAGCATCGAGCGGTATTGAGGGGACAGTAGGCGGCGCCTACAGGAATCGGCTCGAAATGTGCAGATCTTTGTGAACACTGTTTTAAATGATCAAAGGAAACACCCTAATATATGTGTATATATAGAGTAGCCCACTCAAGCCACGTTGTAATTTAATATCTCGAAAATTATGCAATTTTAATCTGCTTTGAAACTTATTGTTAAGTTCAAAAAGCTTCTAAATCTTAATATCAATACTGATTTTTCTTCGTCTTTTGATATTTACTTCAATGGTAATTACTATGCCCGGATTAAAGTTCTAAAATCGCGTTGATCGTAGCTAGCTCTCCCCACTTTCACGTCGCTAAAGGTTGCGACGCGCGGTGTAGTATCAATGGTGGAGAGCGACGGTGGTGTGGCAACGGTGTTACTCGAAACAAGGAACGGAATACAAGCGAGAAAAATACTAGGTAAACCTTCGGAAAGACTACTTCCCTCGAAAAAAAATCGTAACTATGTGTTTCCGATGTATTTTTGCTTCCTGATTACGAATATGATAATAAAATTTGGCGGTCGGACACATTGAAGCCGCTATCTTGAAAAAACTGTCAAAAAACATGATTTTTTCTAGTTTTTTGCATTTATTTCAAAAAATACGCATCAGACAAGAAAATGTTTCAAACAAAAAGTAAAGAACATAAAATTATGTACAAAAAAGGTTCTATGCATTTTCTTCGTAATATCAATGGTAAGCTCGTAAATGAAGAGCGAACATAAGTATAAACGTTGAACTTTCCACGGGAAATAACTTTCACTCCCCCCTCCTCCCTCCGCACAAAAGCACACGACCTCTACGATTGTACTGTTGCTATGATAGTACTGTCGGGGCAGACCTCTGACGACGGTGTGGGTGCGGGGGGGTGGCCGGAGGCCGAAGGCCGAAGGCCGCCCCCTTGCACCCGCCCGTGTGTGTGTGTGTGTGTGTGTG